CGTTGGTTGATGAGTGCCAAGAGAGCAAAGAAGGGAAGAGATTGTCAAAGCGTTAAAACATGCCAACGCCAGGGAATGGCTGGCATCATCTGGGCGTTAAAACACGCCCGCGCCAGTCAAAGAGTTAATAACACTTAGATTTATGTTAATGAAATTATTATTATTGCTATTATTATCATTGTTTGTGTGTTTACTTTTCTGCATTATTGTGTTCTCCCCAGTGCTTGCCTGTAATTTGTCTTTGACTTTATATTGTGTTTGTCCATAATGTAATTAATTGTATCTACACTGTGCTCTGTCTGTAATTGGCTTTGCGGCTGTTGACTCAGCACATAAATAATAAAGAATTGAATTGAATAATATAAAATAAGAATAATAAAATAATGAATAAAAACAATGAATATGTGTAATTAACAATAATAAACATGAAACAAATAAATCAATAATACAAAAACTAAAATATAAAAAGGTAGGGAATAAAACAATATCGTTTTGTTAAAGAAACATCTCCTATCCCTCATGTACGCTCTGTTATACTGTCACATTTCCTTGTTCCTTTCATGAACATTGCAAGTCTAATTTCCACCCCAGTGATGAGAAATTCCAACCTCCTTCAGTTAAAAAGAGCTTTCCCAAAACATCACAATTAATAACCCAAACACAGAAGAAACTCTTGAGTGGTATCGTAATTCTTAAAACAAGAGTTAAGGGGTAAAAGTACAGCATGAACCAGTCACAGCAGTCGTAAGTATTGCTGCTTGTTTGGAAGTATTGAATTGGACAACACTGCCAACAGTTCATAATTATATGTGTGACATTGCTTGTTTAGATCACTGCCAGTTAATTGTCTCAGTATGAACAGAAACGCTGACAGAAAGTATATAAAAACGAAGAAGTTGCCACCCCTAAAATTGAGTTACCCCAGGTGGCTGCTTGGTTTGCCTGATCTGTTGCATGAGCCCAATGTATGACCATTGGAAGGTCTCCTGAATCTCTGAAGTGCTACTGAATATTTCAAAATTGAATGCAGTTTTAAGTTTTCAGTCCATGCATGTATATTGACTTGAAGTGGTTTTGAGTATATGAATATAGGATAAGGAAGAAAATTAGAGACACTTTTTAATATTATATCATAGCATTGTGTTGCACATCACTTATTTATTGCTGTTAGTCATTGCATGTGGTTCTTCCTTTATAAAACCTTAAAAGTTTTAAGCGTTAACATCTTTTCTATATCTCTGGTGTATGCACCCTACATGTTTCGACCAACATTGGTCATCTGCAGGTGTCATTAAAATTGTTGACAAAACTGCTGTGCTTCCATCCATAAGTTCAATTTTTGGGATGTGCCCATCACCATAGGACACATGGGTGCATAGACAAGGTCATATGCAAAAAAATTGAACTTCCGGAGGGAACCAGTTTCATCAACAATTTTGGACACCTGAAGATGACCAGTGTTTCTTGAAACACCAGTGATGTTGAAGAGATTTTAACATTTGAAACTTTTAAGGTTTTAAAAGGCAAGTTGCATGTGAGACAGCTAACTAATAGGAATAAATAGATAAACTTTTATATTTATATACACCAAATTTGTTGTAAGATATCAGGTGATTGCAAATAACTTAGATTGACTTAAACCACTTTGATTCCAGTTATCTTGTGGCAGCTATACATTTGTGTCTTACCGGTTGGTGGATTGTGGGACGTGTGTCACCACAAACCCAACCCCAGTAAGTGTACCAGGAGTTGAGAATCCAGTGGACCCTAAGCAGCATCTCACCATCAAACTGAAGAAGTTGTTACAAGATGTTGAGGTGCAGTCCAAGTATGTAACACATCATATGAAAATATTTACTTCATAAACACGGGAATCAACTTCTGCTTAACAGACTGACTGATTCCATGATACAGAATGCTTGCTGTACAGTTGATTGTTATTCATCCAGTCATGAAATTCGATGCTTTTATGAAACCTTGAGGTTTTTCATCATGTTCACATAAGCCCTGCATTGGTTCCTGTTATATGCTAGTTTAATGCAGTTTATGTTGCATACTATTTCCCTTAATATTTGTTTTAGTGTTGTCCTTTGGTCTGCATTTGAATACCCAGAGTGTTCTCTTACCTTGTATTTTCAAACACGTTTTGTATGTATATCTTGTTTCTCTGCCACAGATGTGATACACATGCTGCATACCTCATCTTTCCAGATTTGATCACCTTAATAATGGGCAGTGCGTTAAAGAAATGCATTATGCTCATGTTATTTTGGTTCTAGCAAAATTTGCAATTAATATGTTTTTTTGCTGACATTACTAATATGGTCTTACATATTTGTACTGATTCTGTTAGTGCATTATTTTCTGCTGAGTCACAGCACTGCTAATTTGTAATTTCATGTTGTGTGTTTCTCTCTTTGTCTTCGGAAGAACGGTATGGCCATACCTTCTTCCAGAGATCCACGATCCTTCCTTCCTTTCCCCCAGTGACTGCTGCATTTACTGGCAAGATGTGAGTTTCCATAGTGGTTATTTCCTGGTGGTTCAGTTGTTACCCAGTTTTAGTGCTCCCTGTGTAACATGCACTGCTTTTCACAGAGAATAAGGCTGCTGCTATCGCAGTCAAGATGGAAATCATTTTCTAAGCCATATTCAGACATTTGATGTTGTAACAAGTTATTAAAATATATTATTTTTTTTAATTAGTTTTATATCACCTTTGCAGATGTTTGTTTGTGCTAGATGAGTATGCAAAATAATATTTAATACAAAAGAATATGTATACTTATATATATCATTGAATAATTAGTATGTGATTCAAATACAACTAGCATCATAGTCTTTTCTTTAACATGTGTGTGGTGTTACACTTTGAGAAGCCATCAGATTGCTCCATTTTTATGTCTAATTTTAAATTTTCAAAGCATGACAACATTATTGTGGAAATAGTTCGTATTCCCTACACTATTTGCTGTTTTTGAAAATATTTATTCTGTTCTCATAGTATGACTTACGTAGGACTGTTAAGCTCTCTTGATCTTTGCAGATGCTGTGAAACACATTTTTTTAATTGATGTAACTTCAGTGTTTATGCTCAATTTTTTATGATCCTTTTGTAATTCATGAGAATGTAGAAATACATTTCAAGATCAGCTATCTTTAAAGGGGGCATATAAGCAGTTTTGAGGTCAGTTATTGGAAATGTCTGGAAATGGGTTTTTCAGAATCATTGGTGCTTCCCCTGCTCCATGTCAAATTTTTGTCCTTTTAACTATCAACTGACCACTCACCTCCAACTAGTGCGAAGGTCAACAAAATGTGGATCTATACATCCACACCCCCATACACCTTCGTGGCATAGTGCTTAATTTGTTAAGCACAGGGACAAATTTACCTTTACCATTGAGGACTGAAGTAGGTGTCCAAGTGTTTCTAAACTTTTCACACTATGATTGTGAATTAAAAAGTACTTTTGTTGCAGTTATATGAGTCAAAAGTATGCTTAAGTTTTCTTGATATAGATCTTTTTACTTATTACCTTCTTTATTGTTTTACTTGTGCATGTCATTCCAGGTCTGTCCTGTTCACTATTAAGAGAGTCAAGGTAGTGTACATGAGAACAGCAACCAAAGTCACCAGTGTGATGTGTGCTCCTTCATAACATACACCTTCACAAATATATCACTTTTCTTCACCTCTTTTTTTATTTAATTTCCACTTAACTACTTGAGATGCACATTCACAACTAAGCTGAATGTTTTGTAAGTAAGAATAATGCCCCAAAAGCTTCATGGCATAATGCCTTCTTTGTTTAAGGTCTTCTTTGTGTTTCACAGAATTAGAGTAAACTGGTTCTGTCTGTGAGAGTTGCAGCCAGTCTTATGTATGACCTCATAAATGTGACATCACACAGATCCAATATATGTCTGTCTCATTCAAGGTGAAGTCATAGCAGTAAAGCTATTTCAGAAGCCTCCTTTAATAGCAATAGGATGAGTACAACATCACACAAAAAGTTGGTATACTTGCTATTTTCCACACTATGTACTATCACAGGATTATTTCTGTTCTTAATTTATTTTGGCCAAAGTGCAAAATGAAGGTAAACATTTTTGTTTTTTCTTTTATGTTTGTATTTACTTAAGCTGTTTGAGTAATGCTTTGGGATGGTAATACTGGGGTTTGTATTTGCTCAGTATCATCAAAGAGTCATGCAACTCAAGTTTCTTTCCCACTTTATTTAATAACACTTTCTTAGCTCCACAGGTTGTGTAATATAAAATGGGACAGTGATTGTGAGTAAGTAATTAACGGAATAATTAATTGATTTTTCACGGATGGTAGGACTCCTTGGACGAGTAATCAGCTCGTCACAAGGCCTCTACCTAAACACAGGACAACACAAACACAGAATAAATGCATGCACACACCAAACATCCATTCCTTAAGTGGGATTCAAACCCACGATCCCAGTGTCTGAGCGAGCGAAGACAGTTCATGCCTTAGACAGGTCAGGTACTGTGACCGGCTCTGTGTGGTAGTGAGGATTCTGAAAACATTATACCGTATTACTTCGCAATTTTCTTGTTGAAAAACTGAGGTGTGATTTAAATTTGAGGAATGTGCATCTTTCAAATTTTATTTTATTGTATTTTTCTAAAAGCCCACATTTAAATACTGGATGCATCTTAAATTCGAGGTTGTCTTATATTTGAAGTAACATGCTTCAGATCTTCTTTATTACATGAGATTAATTTATTATGATATTGCTACTGTCAGTTGTGTGGAACATCTTTTTTACTTCACACAAGAAATTCTTAATAGGAACATTTCACTAATTTATTCTAGAATTCTGCTTATATGATTCCAGACTGTAATGAAGGCTTTGCTGTATTTGTTGCTGAAGCTTGAAGTTATATTGATAAAATTTAACAGATTAAAACATTTTAGGAAAGGGGAATAACTGGCTGGGATGGCAGATGAGATATTAATGTTACAAATGTCTATTCTGAAAGAGTATTCTATGTAGCAGATATAAGGAAAGATCAAAACAGGTTAATAACAAAACAGCAGCACAGGTCAGTAATGTGACAAAACATGACTGGTCACTGCTATCACCACATTTTGTGAACTTATTAAATATGAAGAAATGGATTGAGATAAAAAACATTTCAGTACATGACCGCAGTTGCAGTTTGACCTTGTATGTTTTGGACTATTCTGAAAATGTTTTCATGTGCTCTTTTACTAATTTATTACCCTCGCATAAAATGCACGTCCCGATTCTACTTCAGAATGCTCAAATGAAATATGTACATATATGTAATAGAGGCTACTTTTTTGGTTGATATAATGAGTCACAAATGTTAATCTTTAAATGCTTCTATATTCTGCTATAAGAGTGTAAAGTTCTTAATATGAGACACCCCATGAAATAATTTTTCACCTGATAGCAGTGATGTTTAGTGTCTGTGTCTGCATGTTCTCTCATTTCACCTTTGGTACCAGTTGACTGATTCTTACAAAATCTGGTGTGGAGTTTTGCTATTGGAGGCCATGCAGGTTCATAAAACTTTATGAGGTAGGAGCAACATGGTCGGCATTTAATTTAGGCCCCTTGAATGATGTATGCTAGTAGATCATCATAGGAGCATAAATTAAATGCTAGAGTAAAACTTCGAAATTATATTTGACAAATTTGACATAACTAGAATCTATACTTGAGCAATAAGATCTTCACAGAAATGGAATGAAGCAACAATAGTAATACTGTCTGTTTTATGAACTGTGCTGGAAACTCCTTGTTACATTAAATGAATGAATAAAGATATTTATTGATTTTTGTTATGTATATTAAACCAGTAACATTGATTTTAGGGCGCACATGAAGGAGAAGTTTCTGTCAGACTTGCGTAAGGCGAGAGAGCTGTATTCTGGTGATGAGTTAGCGAAGGCTCTTCACAACATGAGGAAACGATTGGATGACCCCAATGTCCTATCTGGAGAAGTGGTACTAAATGTTCTCATTTCATTCAGAGAAATTCAGGATTATGATGCCATGGTGCAGCTGGTTGATGATCTGAAAACAATTCCCAATAAAAAGAATTACATCAGTACACCAGCCATAAGATATCTCTATGCATTTGCACTGAACAGGTATTTAATTTGTTTTCTGAAACNGAGTTTCTTAACACTCGCTCTTCCACTTTCACCGACCTGTCGTGTTTCATTGAAACTACCCTATTCTCTTTTCGAAGAACATATTACAACAATACAAATATATTGTCACTCGTCATGCAAAGAAAAATACGTTTAATGTGTATTACTAATTTGTACTTTGAAAATTAAAATATAATAGTCGTATTTAATGAAGAAAAGAATTTAGCCAGTCAACATGGAAGTACATGTAGAAATAACTAGTGTGTCCATGTTAAAAATGTAGTCTGTATTGTGGAAATTAAAACTGGTCATACCTCGTATCTTATTTACTCATCATCTTCATGTGATGTTTCACTTTCCTCACTATCTGATGTGATGATTATATTGTCTGTCCTGGTGTCAATATCCATTTTCCTTGTGAAGTACTGGTCCTCTCGATTGCAATATGCTGCCCAGTCTTCAGCGGAAATGGAATTAAATTTCTCCTCTGCTAGATGCATTGCATCATCCAACTTAAATTTCACGTTCCTTTGGCCCACCCAATTTTTAATGGTGCCCCACACCTTCTCAATAGGGTTAAGGTTTGGATGATAAGGTGGGAGACGTATCCCAGAGTGTCCAGCAGTAGCACAAATAGCATCTAGTCTATATTCTTTATTACCTTACTTGTGTTTTTTTATTATTTCGTACAGGTCTGGTTTCAGTGCTGAAGCCAGATACGAAATGTTCCGTTCTGCCAACCACTGTTTCATTTCACCTACTTTGGTATTTGAAGTTGATGCTCTGTTTACTTCAGTATTATGGTAACTTGCATTGTCAATTATGATCACCGTTCTTGGAGGCAAGTTTGGAATTAATTTTTTCTGGATCCACTTCTCAAAGTTTCCAGAATTCATCTCATGGTGGTAGTCTCCTGTTTTTCTGCCTGACTTAAACATAAGCAAAGCTTTCTCCACAAAACCTTGCTTACCACCACCATGTACAATAATTGCTCGTGGACGTTTGGCAACAGGAGAGGAGAGTGTTTTGTTTAGAGAGTCATCCCAGGAGTATGATGATGTGTGGCTACTGTGCAAGTACATTTCATCGACATACACAACAGGCCGACCTTCTCTGCGATATTGCCTGATTGTCCTCAGATAATGCAGGCGTTTAGAACAGGTGTTATGCCTTTCAATCAATGTTTTTCTATTATCCCTCCTTCTCCAACGAAAACCAAGCCGGCGAACAATTCTCCTGCAACTAGGAAGACTTCCTTCAAATTTTAGGTCTCTTACCATTTTTTTTTGTGAAGTTTGGGCATGGTAACTCTTTCGCCCTCTGTTTTATGAAAGTTGTAGATCATTCTTCTGAAGGCGTCTTCTATAAACTGATCACTTTTGTTACAGGTTTCTCCTCCTTACGTTTCTTGGTCAGTGAGGCAAAGGAAGCGCCCTCTTCTAAGCTCCTTTCTTTTCAAATAATTTCATTCAATGCAGTACAGCCAATTCCGGTAGCTTCACATACTGTTTTCTGGATTGACTTTAAGTTTACAACAGCTCCACTATCTGCTAGTCTCTCTAAGTAATTATATACATTTGCAATTACTTGCTTCGTCTGTGAGTGTAGGCCTATACCCTGACCTAATTTCTTACTCATTATGTACGATTTAGCGCACAAGGAAACTGACGTTTTTAAACAGAAGATGGAAAAACCGTAAGTATAACTTGCTTCGAGGGTGCCTTACAAACAACTGGCTGCCTGTCACTTCTCACACCCTCAAACCCACCCCCTTGTCTGAATTTTTTGTTCTGCGCATTCAAGGTTACTCTTGGCCTTGTTCAAAGTTACGTGACACTTGCTATACTATCATTGTTGCTGTTGTTATTAAGTTCTTGTTCAAGATCCGCGTCATAGCTCAAGTGATTAGTCGCTGGCTTCCCATCACGGCGGCCCGGGTTCAATCCCGGGTCTGGTCAAGTGGGATTTGTGGTGAACAAAGTGGCGCTGGGGCAGGTTTTCTCCGAGTACTTCGGTTTCCCCTGCCAATCTTCATTCCACCAATTGCTCCACAATCACCCATGCCTATCATCTGAGGCTGGTACAATAGGCCAGAAGTGGCCGCAGTACAGGAGATTAGTCCCACCCCACTAGGAATAAAAAAAAAGTTCTTGTTTATGCAGGACCAAGACATGTTTTGATAGCTCAGTCATTATAGCATCTTGGTACTGTTAGCAGACTGAGGAATGGGATTTCAAATCCCACCAGACTCGAGATGTTTTTCTCTTCTTTACAGCATCCAGACTAGCATAAATTAATCTTGTCTTGTCTTGATCCTGAGAAGTAAACAAGAATTGATTAAAATCTGAAGCGAAGACTTGATCAAGTTATGAAGTTGTGAACTGTACCAAGAAAATGATTACACAGTGACCAGGATGGCAGCAGGGGTCCTTTGACAGCATTAGGAATATAAATGTCCTGTAAGAGTAAGGAGTGGGTGGAGAGGCCAAGTGAGGCAAGTTGTACAAAAGGGAATAAAGAAAGAGTGGATGCAGATATAAAAGTAAAAGTAACGTTTAATGCAGGACAGAAGGGGGGGAGAAGCATTAGACAGAAGAAGATGCCACATCCAGGTAGAATATCGGTGGATTTTGATGATAGCAACTGCCTCTGTGGTCTAGTGGTCAGAGTTCCTGCCTACAGATCCAGAGGTCCCAGGTTCGATTCCCGGCGCTACCAGATTTTCTGAGAAGTAGTGGGTCTGGAACGGGGTCCACTCAGCCTCATGAGGATAATTGAGGAGCTATTTTGAGGAAATAGCGGCTCCGGTTTAGAAAACCGAGATTAACGGCTATGGTGATCTGTTGCACTGACCACGTGCCACCCTCTATCCACAGAAATATTGGCACTAACTTCCCCAGCAAGCAGCGGTTGCTCAGTCAGTATAATTCACTTGCAGACTACAGGCCACAGAGTTTGTTTTTTGTTTTGTTAGTTGATAATGGTGACAGCGATTTTTCCTCACTTTTTAATGATGTAGCATTTAGGCAGTATGGAAGCTCTGTGATTTGATTTGCAAGGTTAGGTTGTCATACAGTAAGTAACAATGTGTATACAACTTCATTATGGACTCATTTTGTCATCCTGTAGGCGGAACAAGGAAGGAGATCGGGAGAATGCTCTCCGTGTCATTGAGAAAGCTCTAGAAAAAAAGGAGAATCATGTTCCTGATATGTTGTGTCTGTGTGGTCGAATTTACAAGGACAAATTTGTAGAATCACGCCATACAGATGAAGACAGCCTCAGAAATGCAATCCGCTGGTACCGGAAGGGTTTTGAAGTACAGCCTAATGAATACGCTGGTATTAACTTGGCAACATTGCTAGTTATTGCAGGCAATGAGTTTTCAAAATCAGAAGAACTTCAGCATATAGGTAAGTTATATTGATTATACTGTGCACTAAGCGTGTTACTGTGAAGCCACTATTTATTGAATCTTTAGGGAATTCAGTTTTCTAACATAAATTGAGGCTGTCACTCAGTACAAGAAATTTGGGTTGTATAAAACCAGATTCAAAATCTGTTCATTGTATAGGATTTACTGCATACATACATGATTGAATAATTTCTTCTTGTAAGTGGGTATGAAACCGGTTTCTGCACAAGTATAAACATTTCTGAAATATGAAATAAATATTGAATGAACCTCGCTTGAGGATCACAGTGGCAGTGATGTCACAAGCAGCATTGTTTTGTTGCTTAGTCATTATGACATCACTCACCTAAGATCACAACATTTCCAGCGGAGTGAAAACGTTAATATTGGTCACTGTTTCAACCACAGTTACACTGAATTGAGGTACAAGTTCTGGATGGCTGAAAATGTTATATGCTAGATACAAGTTATTTATTAAATTAAAGTTCACTGAATATTGGAAAATAGATCAGCATTTATATTGTGCTTCATCTGGGGCAAGAAAAATGTACAGTGAATATAGAACATCATGAAATGCAAGAAGATTAAATTTGCATTTCACTGTGCTATGAAGCAATGAAAGGCAATGGAGTATTGTACAGTGTAATCCTCTGTTGAGTTAGGTATCCATAACTAACACCCTGAACAAATGTTGGATATTCAACTGCTCAGCCTCATCCTTTAATTACCTGTGTGTAATGCACCCTGATCTGCAGTGAAAGCTGTGGTGTTCAAGTCACAGTGGTAAATATTGCATCTGGAGTCGAAGAAGCACCCTTCCAGACTTTGGGTTGTAGTGTGTTCATTTTATATTTTGTTTGCATTTAACATTTTATTGATAGTTGTTTATAAGCACTGTGAGAAGTTGTATTAAAACTCTTCAGTTAATCAGAAATACTGCCATATTTTCCTCTCAGAGTGTCCCATATTAACTTCTACTTGTAAGAAGCTGGAGAATAATTTATAACATTTTGAACACTGCAAGCCAGTTGTCACTTTCTCTTCCCAGCGTCACTTCTTGTCAGTGCTTATGAGACAATATTCATCTTAAAATTTCAGAGAAAAGAAAAATCTTTTCCTTAATCCCCAGATTTTATCATCATCAACAACAAAACATATTAATGTTGTAGTCTGCTGCTTTATGAAACTGTAGTCTGGTAGGTGCATACTTTACTGCCTGACCACACTGTGTCATAACTTAGAAAATCGCATTATATAAGTTTGCTGCAGTGAAAACGTCAGATCTAATGTATCACGTATTAAGCTCTTGATCTGTTGTAATTACAAGATTTAAAACTGTACCAAAAATTAATGTTATAAATAAATCATTCCCTGATACCACTATAACCATCTTGCAGGTATGGTGCTGAATAACTTGATAGGAAAGAAAGGCAGTTTGTCCTCCTTACAAGACTACTGGGATGTTGCTACCTTCTTTGAAATCAGCGTTCTCGCTGAAGACCATGCTAAAGCAATACAGGCAGCAGAATGTATGTTTAAATTAAAACCCCCTAATTGGTAAGTGGATTGCTTCTGTACAGGTTTGTTTTCATTTTTAATATACCTACTAATCGGGCTTTCTGTTAGAGCATTCTAGGTTCTCATTCCCTATACATGGTTGCTAGTATGTCAGCTTTTTATAAGTTTTTTTTATTGAAGAGGTGTGACGTTAAAATAATTCATGATGGAACATCTGATGTCTGCGAATCCCATGGTCTGTAAGAACGTTTTTCTGTGCTATACTGTTTTACGCAGAAACTGCCTTCTAAAAGAAGTTATTGAAGGTAAGATAGAGGGGCAGATAGAAGTGACAAGAAGACGAAGAAGACGTAAGAAGATGCTGGATGACCTTGGGGACAGAAGAGGATACTGTCATTTGAAGGAGAAAGCTCTAGATCGAATTAAGTGGAGGAATTGTTTTGGAAGAGACTGTGTACCTGTCGTCTGACAGATTACTGATGATGATGATGACTTATTAAGTTGTTAATTCTTTATTTCATTTTCTTATTCTACTTGAAATACAGTGGAATAGTGCCAGTGTAGAATTTGCTTCCTTTGATGTGCATGAGTCTCCCTAGGTTTCTTTTGGTCTTGATCTCAGTTTGATCATTCTACCAGAAGGAAAGCATCCCATCAAAATATTGGCTTAGTATAGTAAAATCTTCTGACATTATTACAGTGTAATTAATTAGAGATATTGATAATTTGGTAGAGTATTGGAGTGATGTAGTAATAAGATGATTCTGTGTTGAATTATTTCCTTACAGTGAAATGAAAAATGTAACCTTGTTTGATTTTTAGAACATATACGTAATAATGTCAACATCATTTCATTTTTTGTGTATTATATTTCCGTAATTATATAAATTATGTCAATGTGTTACAAAACAAAATTATATATTCCAGTAATTTATTTGATATTAATGTGTGCATATACAATATTGTTATGTGTATGTGATGGTGAATGGTTTTTCTGTTTATGTAATGATTAGAAAAGAAACAGGAGTGGATTTGAGGTTCTCATAATGTTGACTATGAAGAATACACTGCTTTGGGTTGTAATTATGTGTAGTGCGTTGGAAGCCCACAAACATTTTAGAGGAACTTATCACCTCCGGCTTCAAAAGTGGAGAGAGTAAGCCAAGAAGCTAGCAATGTGTAGATATTCTCAAATGTTTATTTACTTCTGCCAAACTGTGTGGCCCTACAACCTTGAAGCCTGTACTGTTTAAACATAATGGCTGTCCACAATACTGATCTGATGGAAATTTGACAGATGTAAGCATAGAAAAGAGTGCAAATATTTTCATAAATTTAAAGCTATCCCTGTTAGAGGCCACGGAGGAGCGTAAGGTTGTGAGTCAAGGCTTCCACATTTTCTAGACAGCCAGCTCACAGATGGTGACGAGATTGTCAGCCTTACATGCCGGCCACCTTTTACTCCCAGGAAGATTCCTGGTACTCATTTCTGTTAAGAGGTTGAGTTGACCCCAGGGCCATAGTGCGGCTGGAAGGATTAGTCCAATTGAAAAGTCCAGTGATTTCATCAGGAATCAAACACACAACCTTGCAGCTTGTGGCATAGTGCCTCAACCAGCTACAGTACCGTATGCCCCGAATATTTTCATAACTTTTTGTATTAAATTCCTTTTATGATATACATCTGGTTTCGCTCCCTTATATTTAATTTGTTGCAATTAACTGGGCTTTTATTTATTTTTCAATAATTTATAAAGGAAATTATTCATGTAGAATGAAATTTTTTTCCTCAGGTACCTGAAATCAACAATAGGCAACATTTCATTGATAGATCGTTTTCGCAAAAATGAAGAGTCAGAAGCATCTCCAGAACAACAGGTGTTTCAGTTTTGGGTAGAGTACTTTGTAGAAGCAACCAAGGCTGAAGTTGGGGACTGTATACGCTTTCCTGTAAGTATGATGCAACTTTCATAGGAACTTCTTTTAAAAGACTGAACTCCTGTTGTGGAGGAACAGTGTCTTTTTGTATAAACTGTCACCTTTCACAAGACTTATGTTTTAATATGTTAATGAAGGGCCATAGCTTTAGTGTGTTGAGTACTAAGTACTAAAGAGATTACATTGTATCCTAGTAGAATTAGTATTGCTTATAATGAGAACTGTGTTATAGGAAAAAGAAATCGTTAGTACTTTCAGTTTCTCAGTATTATATATGTAGGGAAATCTTGCATAAAACGGGGCATTTTTTTTTCATAACTTGAATTATTGCAAGTGTACATCTATTCTTTGTGCAATGTAATGTAAGTTTAGGGAAGACATGACCTCTGCCTGCATTTGGTGCTATCTACCCTAAATGTGGCTGATGCTCCCTCTTGGAATGCTTGTCTCCTCCCACCTGTCCTCACCTGGTGAGAGCATAAAAGATGCACGAAGATGGAGCACCAGTCAAAATGGTAGTTGAGACTACAACAAGGCTTTGTATGAAGTGAGAAAGTTCTTGCTGACAGATGTAACCTGTGGATTTCTAGAGAACTCGATATGCTGTTAGTACAACTCCTAGTTGAATCTGAGGATCTCACAGAGGTGGCTATGAAGAGTTCTGTCTCTCGATGCCATGCTATGTAGTCCAGGGAAAGTCAGCTGTTGTGGAGGAGTATATCTTCATGGTCAGAGTAGGTCTAGTGAGAAACCAGTGTGGAGCAGAGCTCTGCTTGCTGCCTTTTTCTCACTGGTTTCTTGCTTTGCATACTCTTTGACCTTGAAAATGGACGTGATATTTTCTTACAAAACATCAGTTGACTTTCATCAGACTAGATGGTATTATAACCCAGAAGACAGAACTCGTCAACTATAATTGAGTTTAAAATTTCTACCTGTTTGAAAAACCAGTCAAAAATTTTAAGAACTGAGCACTTATCCTTTACTACTACAAAATTTCATATATATTTATAATATTTTCTTCTGTGTGAAATCAGTACAAATCATGTAATGCATAGTATGATAAAGTCACTGGTTTGTGGATTGTTAATGATGATGTCAGTAGCTCTTCTAATGAATAGGGAGGATGTAGAAGAAAGTGATCATGGCCTAATTTGAATATTATCCTGCTGTTGACGTGGGAGGGCTAGGGTAAACCCTCAAAATCCTGTCAGAGTAGTCATTATCCCAGCTGAGATTCAAAGTTTGGCACTTCCAGAATACAAGCCAGAAGGATTATCACTTGCGTTGAGCTGCTTGATGAAAGTCTGCTACATTCTGCACACATTGTACCATATTTGGAATATTGAAACATGTTTATTTCATCAGCCTATAAAGAAAGTTATGTTGCAACTGAACTCTGAAAGAAATTGTCTGAATTCTGGACAGATGCATTGTCTTTAGTAACTTCTTTTTCTCTCCTATATGTAATAAGACAAATGCCATCATGAATGCTACAATTTATTTGGTTGTAATTCTTTGTCTTTTCTTCCTCTACACTACATGTTTCGGCCACAACCGGCCATCAGGTGTATTTTTCACTACGTAGCTGTCACACTGCACACAATCTAAAATCTAAAACACCAGCCTGTCAGTTTTGTTTAAAATCTTGCCAACATACACTGGTCAATTTGATTTTAGATTTCTAATTTAAAATTTAAAATTTTATAACTCTCCCATTTCCTTTCCTACAGGTTTATGGACGAAACATGTACAGTCTTCTTCAAATACTAATAACTAATATTTTGTTTCATTCTTTCTTCAGATGCTGGTTCTAGAACCAACAAAAATCCTCATGCCTAGCTATGTTAATGTAAATCTGGGGGCTGAAGAGAAATCAGTCCAGATTTGGAACTTGTGCTTGGACAGTATGAAAGGGAACTGCCGGCAGGTTCATGACTGGCTCTTCACAGCCAGCATGATTCGTAGTGTGAGGTAAGGTGATTTCTTTTTCATAATTTCTTCATTAGATAAAATGGAAATACACTGGAACCTCCAATTAATGTTCCTTGATTTAAGGGTTTCCTTAAGGGAAAGCAGTTAATCTAAATTGTGAATACGTGATCTTTCTCCCTTCTTCACTCCATCTGCATCATCACAGTTTCCTTTGTTGGATTACTGCTTAGTAAAATTTCCTGATTATCATAAAGGAGAATGGGTCACACTTCACTTCCATCCGCAGCTTCTCTCGAGCTGGTACACATACTAACAACTGATGCACAATGGTAAACAATGGTAAACCAGAAGTTCCTCATTTATTGCTGCAGATTATGTGTCAACCTTGAGGTCAGAATCAAGAGTGAGAATACTGGCCAACATATTTTTAGAAAGAAAGTGCTATTCTAACCAATGTGTCATGAAAGCTGACCGGCTCGAAGCAGTCTTCGGTAGCCAGAGTAACAATGTTGGAATATGGTACAGTCAGGCTTAAAATAAATGAGGTATGGCATACCCATGTGTTTTGAAACAACAGGGAGTAAATTGTTGCTGATCCAATTCTGCAAGTACAGTATGGTCACATTTCATGTGAGGATGCTTTCTGGAAGACCTCACATTATTCAAGACAAGTTTTGAAACATGTGATTCTTGCTGATTTATTTTTTTTCTTTCGATTCACATAATTTCAGACTTCATGCATAAAGTGAGACTTTGTAATATTTCTTGTAGTGCAGTATTTCAGATTCATATAAAATGTGGCCGCACTGTAACAACAGAACATCATACTAATAGTGAACTGCACAGTTTGGTGGCTTAGGTCCCTTGTCTGCTGGTTCCCCATAGTTACCATGTCCCATATGGACCTAATCATGGATCATATTATTTCAACATTGATGCATTCAGCAGAAGCCCTAACTAGAGGGTAACATGTAAATGTTTTCCAACAGTTTGTATAAGCGTGACGAGAGGTGCCTCTTCCTCTATGTCCACCAAAACTCGGATGATTTTCAAATGTTCCTACCATCAGTCCAGTACCGGCAAAGATTCTACAATCTCATTCTTGAGATGACAGCTGATCAGGAAGGGATGGTCACAGATTTAGACTCTGATCCATCAACTGATCAAATGAAGGTAAGTCCCCATAATGTGTACCTATCATATTTCATTGCTGTTATATAATTTCTGTTGAAGGCTCTTGCTATACTGATTGTATGTGTTTGTGTGTGTGTGTGTATTTTTAGTAAGGGTGAAACATGTACATTTATTTGGGTAAGACTGTACTTCCGTAAAGACATTATTGGCATAAAATACGTGCTCTGATCAAAAAGTTTCAGGACTATTTTTTTATAATTTTTCAGACATGCCTGCAACTGAGTGAGCCTTAATGCCTTCAAAGTACACCCTTCCTGCATTGATGCACTGCTCCCAAAGCCATTGTCACTTCTGGAAACAGCCCTGATATGCCTTTTTCAGGATTGCTTGTGGCTCCATCCATGAATTTTTCATAATCTCTTGAATCGACTGAAATTGCCATCCTTTCAAAGTGTATTTCAGTTTGGGAAATAAGAAAGAGTCTACTGGAGCTAGGTCAGGTGAACAGGGTGGCTGGGGAAGTACAGCTGTGTTCTTGGGGCCAAAAAGTCATGAATCAGTAGCAATGCATGAGCTGGTCCATTGTCATAATGGAGGAACCAGGAGTTGTTTCTCCACAACTGGGGTCTTTTTCTCCTGATATTTTCTCTTAGACATTTCAGCACTTTGAGATAATACTAGTGATTCACTGTTTGCCCCTCACATAAGAATTCATCATGCACAACATCCTCAGTGTCAAAAAAAAACCATCAACATGACTTTCACATTCCACCTGATTGGCTGTGCATTTTTTTGGTGTCAGCAAATTTTTTCCAACCCATTGTGAAGACTGCATTTTCATTTCCACATCATATCCATAAACACATGTTTCATTGCCAGTTTTTGGATAGTTTTCATCCTCACTAGCACAATCCAGAAGTTCCTAACAGATGGCAAAATAACTGTCTCTCTGATCCTGTGTTAGAAATTGTGGGACAAACTTTGAAACTACCTAATTCATTTCTGATTTCGTTGTAAGAGTGTTGTGACATGATTCTATTGATATGTTTCACTCTTCTGCTGTTTTTCACACTGTCAAACAACGATTAGAATGCATGAATTCACCCCACTCTCAACACCAGTAGCAATCAAAGAGCACAGAGCAAGAAACAGGAATACAAATTATGTGTAGTGGGAATGGGGAACACGTATGTGGGGGAGGTAGTCACTAGACAGATGGAGGAGAGAAAGTCTGTGTTTAGTGTTTCCAAAGTTGAAAGTGTTGAAAGTGAAGTCAAAGAAGCTGTGATGTTTGGGGCTAGAATGTGACAGACAAGGAATTTATAACACAGTTTGATGGGAAGGCCTCCTGGAAAATGTCCGCTTGAAAGACCAAGGGGAATTCTCATGTAAAATTGTGGATCTACAATTCAGACCACATCTGGAACTATGAAGTTGTTATGAATTATACCCTTGTAAATTGTCTTACAGTTACATGTTTTAAATATCAACACTAAACTTTATAAATGCCGGTGACCGTAGCCGAGCGGTCTAAGGCATGCACTGTCTTCCCTCACTTGGAAGCTGGGATCGTGGGTTTGAATCCCACTCAGGGCATGGATGTTTGTGTGCGTTTTTCTGTGTTTGTCTACAGGTAGAAGCCTTGCGACAAGCTGATCACTCGCCCAAGGAGTCCTACTATATGCGTAAGATCTAGAAAAACCGAAGTGAATGGAGTTCATGGAGTTAGGCCTAGGCCCACTGGGGCTGTAGTGCCAAGGGAAAAAGAAAACCTGATAAATACCAAATTTATATTCTCATACGTGTAACTACAGCTGCCACGTTAAATGGGTCCCTCGTCACCACGGCATGGCATGTCCTCAGGTTGCGGATAGAGGAGACAACCTCTAGATATGGAAGGCAGCTGCAGATGTATTGAATAAGCAGCCACAGACAGGCTACAAGGGATGGTCCTCCAGATTGGGGGTTGGGCATGGGGCTAACAACTCCTTATGACAATAAATAAATTGGTTACAAAATGTTACACAAATCCTCAGACTTGGACTGATTCTTTGGATAAATCTAAGATAAGGAGACTTATGGTCTGAGATCAATAAATTCAGTAATATAAAAACGGACTGCAAGAAGATAGGATGGGGTGGTATGGACTGGATTATTCTGACTCAGGATAGGGACCATGTTCCTATGAACATGATAATGAACCTTTGGGTTCCATAATATATTTAGAAATTCTTGAATAGGTGTGCGACTGGTGACTTCTCAAGAAGGTCTCAGCTCCATGAAGTTAGTTAGTTAGTTGGTTGCTTAATTAGTAACTAGAACTAAATCTAAAATATAAAAGAATTTAATTTAGCTTCTTACCTGTTGTGAGTTAATTTTCCCTTACTAGTTCATACACATTTGTTTTTATTTGACAGGTATTCTTTGTGTTTGTATACCTTTTAAGCAAGTTCATAAGCTTTTCACAAAGATTATTTTATCTTCGAGGAAGGTTGTGGATTGTTTTGTTTAGAGGAAAAGTAAACACATTGTACTGATAAGGAGGAAGAGTGGCTTCAGGAGAAGATAAGATATATGTCTACCAAATTGTATATCTAGCAGACATGTGGTCTCCTGTGTTCGTATTCTGGTCTAAAAGTTCAAGTTGAAAGTAAGGCCAGTGACAGCAAGAAGTTCTGGGAAGAATTGATGGTACCTGTTTTCCTTCAAATATTTCAATAATTGAACTTGAATGTCTTAGACTGAGCAAGAACTTGGTTGCTGTAACAAGATCAGTAATTGTGATGCTTGGTCAAAGAATACTGTATTTCAGGTCACAACAGTTATAGCAATCCATAATATTGTCACGGTTGGGTATGTGACGCGACAAATAACTTCATGCCGCATTGGATATAGCGAATTTATTGAACACTCGCTCTTACATTTACACAATTCACAGTTTCACAACTACTGCCATTGGCAGTATTACAGTTACTCCCACTGCTCTCCATGACGTGATGATCCACACTGTGTCACTTCTGATCACACACTCACTCACACACTGCTCAGCCGGCTTCTTATACCTTTCCCTGTTGCCCCATGTTAACAGAGGTACCCCCTGTTACATCACCACGGGAAGTGCTGTTATGTCACCGCCAGTGGGGGGGATGTGATGTCACTTGCAAGACCGCAGAGTTCACATGACCCCCTACTTCCTGTTGCACCATCCATGTCATTGGATATTGGATTTACGAGTATTGACCACTTGTACACACCACTTGGAACTACAAGTGGTAACAGCACAACTACTAATCTTCACAATTCACAGATCACCAAAGCACCCGCTAAGCCTTTTTTGATCCTGCTGTGTCTTCAACACCTGTTCCTTAGCAATGGCTTCTAACAGTGGAGATTTTTCAGCTTCCCATGCTCACATCATTACTATACAGTGAATATCTCACTACTGAACTCACTCAGCCAGCTTGGGGTCCTTGCTATATAGCCTCAGGGTGGACCCAACAGAGGACATCACTTCCGACAGTCCTTCTATTATTGTTATGGGCGGTTGCCTAGTGATAGCTCGGATATCATTGTCGTGTTTACCGGCCATTACCAAACAACTCATGTCCCATGTCACGATTGTTACATAGCGACGGTACTACATGCTACAGTAATGTGCAACACTTCAGAGACAGTAGATTCTCATACAATACACTGTTCTTGCTTGGCTTACTCTTTGACCCTGAAGATTGAGGCAGTACATTCCTCACACATCATTGGTGGACTTCTATCAAGCTTCATGGAGTTTCATTCCAGAAGATTGTAACCTATATGAGAAGCTCAAATCCAAAACAAATAATTTTTCTTTCCAAAATAATTGTCATTTTAAAAAATTGAAAGAAATAACAGAACTAAAATGTAATTAGCAGTGTTTCTTCTGATGTGCCATAGACTTCAGTTTTTGTTTATGTGTGTGTACTACCAGCTTGTAAAGAAAATGTACCGAAAAACAGTGCCTTGGTCAGTGAACAGGATAAATTTGTAAGATTTNAGCTTGACCGTGTCTCACGGTGTTGTCGCTTGCAGATTTACTTATACTTCTTCAACCCTGAAGATGGGGGCGATACGTTCCTCCGAAACGTCGGTTAACACCACATATACACGGTGCCAAATCCCAGAAGACTGCTTTCTTCAGGATAAATTTGATCTAGACATACCACACGCAAACTCTGGATCTCATTTCACAATGTTTACAAGCTAAGCTTTGATTTTAAGGTGACTCTTTTTTAGGGATCAGAATGAGTAAAGAGAGACAGACTTATGCAAGTAATGTATGTAGGTGCTATCTGAAAGTTCCCAGGTTAGGTCAAAAAAGGAATGCTGGCTTAACTTAGTCAATTTTGGCTGTCATCTCCTTTAAAATAGTCTCCTTGGGATAGTATACAGCAATCCCATAATTTTTTACATGCTTCAAAAGCACCGTTGAAATCATTTTCCTTAATGCTGTTGAGTACTGCTTGCAATTCCCTTTCTGTGTCAGGCACTGTTTGAAAACATCGTCCCATCAGTTTCGTTTTCAATTTGGCAAATAAAACGAAATCAAAATGGGCTAAGTCCGGCAAGTAGGAAAGCTGGGGACTGATGACCTTGTTGTTAGTTACAGACTATGGTTTTCAGGGACGTGTGGGCAGGCATGTTAGTACGATGAAGCAGCAATGTGGCGCATGTTCAGATTTTCTCTTAAGTTGTCCTGGCAAACTCCATGCCTGATCCCAGTGGTGTCTGCTGGCTCATGGATTGTTTGGTGATGGTTTCTCTGGATGAGTTCTCATTTTTTTTTCAACATTTTCTGTCATTTTGCTGGTGCTTGGTCACCCTGAATGTTTGTCATCTTCAGCTGACACTTGACTGGCCTTGAAGCACGAATACCATTGAAAAACCTGTGTCCTGCTTAAATAATGTCCAAAAGCCTCACAAAGTATTTCGAAGGTTTTCGTAGTGGATTTACTGAGCTTCACACAGAACTTAATGCAGACACCTTGCTTGATTTTTCCATCCATCTCAGACATAATGAAACATGAAGTTGAAAAGGCACTGGTGTAAAAGCAGTGTGTGTTTGCAGCACGGTGTCACGTTTCAGAATGATGCTGTAGGCTTTAGGAAGTGTGACCTTCGCCTCACCTCTCATCATCTCACACAGGGGCAGTTACAACAGTAACAACCTGGGTACTTTCTGATACCATGTACATTTTCATTACTTATTATTTCTCCTCCTTCACTTCCTGGATGAGGCCAGTAGCCTGTTTCAGCTTCATAACGTTCGTTTCTTTCTTGGTTGCCCAAAATCTCTTCTCCCTCATCATCTGTATTGAAGAGTCTTCTTTGGAGCTGCATTGCATTCTGTCCCCATGCTGAATTTGTTACTTCCTGTAATCTGATATTTTTTCTGTAATTTTGAATGTATGTAATTCATTCCTGGAATCTTAATTTTTTTATTCTATCAAGCCAGGTACACCATATGAATGATCATAGGAATTCCATTCCAACTGCCCTTATTGCATTTAGGTCTTAGTTTCTTAATGTCCAGGCTTTACTTCTGTATAATGATGTAGGCATCAGTATTTTTAATTCTAATGAAATTTAATAAACTTGGAGATATCTTGTGTATAAGTAAATTATATTTTGCCCTTTCAAATATGGAAATGTTGCATATGGAAGGTTATTATTATTATTGTTGTTGTTGTTATAAATATTATTATTTAAATTAGTAATATTTACCAAAATTTGGTATATACATTTTGTTAATAGGCCAGTATTGTTATTATTTTAATTTCTGTGTTTGTTGATTTTAGTTTGAGTATGAGTTGGATGATGTGGGGAAGAGGATTGTCTTGGGAAAAGGCACGTATGGAGTTGTATATGCAGCCAGAGATTTAAATACTCAAGTTAGAATTGCTGCCAAAGAGATTCCTGAGAAGAATCTTGGGTAAGTGTGTACTGTGGCCATTTCAATCCAGTCTTTGACTGCAGTTCTTAGGTGTTATCATATTTTCATGATTGCCATATTATAACAGGGCAATTTCAAAGTCCATTTTCTCACATTGGTATATGATATGTATGATTACTGGATTTCTGACAAAGTCCAGAAACCCATGAATTTTAAATATATCTATTGGTTGTTGATTGATGAATCTAGTTTTCAACATGTCATGAAGGCGTAAGGTGGAGTGGAAGTATGCCTCCATCATTCTTAACCTTGACAGTAGGTGGAGGTGACTGTTCAGCTTCATGCACAGCCGCTCCTCCCCCCTCCAGTGGGAGGAAGGAACCCTTGGTACTTAGTGGATAGGAGGCTGAGTGTGCCCCAGAGCCAGTCTGGACACTGTGGAGAAGAGAAATATCTCTTGAACCTGCTGGGAGTCAAATGCTGTTTGTGTAGCCTGTTAGCCCATCGCTATAACCAGCCAAGCTATCCCAGCTAAATTTTATGCATTTGTATAGAAATTTTGATTTAAATCTGTTGTAAATCTTTTGTTATTCATAGTGATGTTCAGCCATTACATGAGGAAATCAAACTTCATTCCCAGTTGAGACATCGAAATATCGTGCAGTATCTGGGCTCTGTCTCTGAAGGAGGATTCTTCAAAATATTTATGGAACAAGTTCCTGGAGGTTTGTAATCATACCTGGCTTGTAGTTTCCCTGAAGGATATGCAAGTGGTTAAATATTTAAGATTTGAGGCTTTCACGGCGGTGACTATGAAGAAAGCAGTCTTCTGGGATTTGGCACCATGTATATGTGGTGTTAACCGACGTTTCGGAGGAACGTATCGCCTCCATCTTCAGGGTAGAAGGAAAAATATAAGAAATCCGCAAGTGAAGAGACCGTGAGAACCGGTAAAAGCCTGCCGATTTCTTATATTTTTCCTTCTACCCTGAAGATGGAGGCGATATGTTCCTCCGAAACGTCGGTTAACACCACATATACACGGTGCCAAATCACAGAAGACTGCTTTCTTCATGGTTAAATATTGTTTTAACTTTAAGAAAGATGTAATAGCTTTGTACTATTCTGTGCCAACCTCGGAGATGTTCGCATGTAATTTTTTGTCACGTTCAGTATTCTTTTGCAGGAAGTTTGTCAGCCCTCTTGAGGTCCAAATGGGGTCCACTGAAGGAAAATGAGTCTACCATATCGTATTATACAAAACAAATATTAGAGGGCTTAAAGTATCTTCATGACCAGAAGATAGTACACAGGGACATCAAAGGTACTTGTGAATTTGAAATAAAATATTTCATTATGTATATGAAACCTGAACTTAAAGTGCTAGTGTGACTCAGTCAGTATACTGGTTAGGCTGCAGGCTAGTCAACTGGAAAATCAGGGTTTGAAACATATTGGAGGTAGTGATTTTGCTGTTCTCCACAACATGTACACTGCCTCAGGGGCCCATCAAGCTTTCTATTTAAGGGGTACCAAGGGCTCTTTGCCCATGGCTAAAGTGGCTAGGGCGTGCTTACTGCTTACTTTCTTCCAGTGGTATGGTTAAGAATGCATGGAACTATACCTCTGCTCCCCCATAAATCTTCATGGTCTACAGTGACAACTTCACCTTTATCTTTTTATGTATTATATGATTAGTGTAACATTTAGGCCTGCTAAATATTAAGACTGACTGCAATATCTTTTTCTCCATTTGATTGTTTTTTCTTCTTTTTCTTTCTTTTGTGGTGGTTTTGGCATATTCAGTGGACTACCTCTGTGGTCTAATGGTCAGAATTCCTGGCCACAGGCTCAGAGATCCAGGTTTTTAGATCTTCTGAGAAGTAGTGGGTCTGGAATGGGGTCCACTCAGCCTCGTGAGGGTAATTGAGATGCTATTTCAAGGAAGTAGTGGCTCCGGTCTAGAAAACCGAAACTAACAGCCATGGGGATTCATTGTGCCGACCACTTGACATTCTCTTTCTGCAAAAGTTGGCACTAACTTCGCCTACAAGTGGGGGTCGCTCGGTCGGTATGGTTCACTTTCGGACTAAAACCGCGGAGTTTGTTTGCTTTGTTGGCATATTCAATGAAGTACATAGGAGATGATACAAGAGCAAGTTACAAGAGTAGAATTTGTCTCCAAAATTTTATAAATTGTTGTCAAATGCCCCAAATGTGCATCACCGCTCTCTTTGTGCCATCTCCAGATATCTCCAGGTTAATCATTCCATCCTTTATAAGCCAGGTCCAGAGACTTCTGTTATTAATACATTCTGACAGTACCTTTTCCATGACATTTCTGAACAAAGAGTTTCCATCAGTTGCTGTCTTTCATGCTTTGAGGAGCATGTAGTTGTGTCACCTTGCAAATAGATATCACACAGTATAAAAGTCTCTTTGAATTTACTTTTATTTGGAGACAGTTTAAATGTAGTGGCTGGGTGACAGCAATTGCACTGCATCTAACTACCTGGCAAGGAATGTGTTAATCAAGACATTGATTTATTCCTGGTTTATAGGTGACAATGTGCTGGTAAACACGTATAGTGGAGTTGTGAAGATTTCTGACTTTGGAACATCAAAAAGGTTAGCTGGCCTCTGTCCAAGCACAGAAACCTTCACTGGAACATTACAGTACATGGCTCCAGAAGTGATTGACAAAGGCCAGAGAGGTTATGGTGCTCCTGTAAGTATTAACCTTCTTTTTATGGGTATAGGGATCTTAAATCTTTGGGCACAGCAGGTATGATGGCCATATTTTAATATAGAGGTAGCAGATTATTTTCAGGGATTAGGAGATTTTGAATATCCTAGTTCTGCATAGCCAAACCAGTGGTCTAAGGCATGAACTGTCTGGGATTATGGGTTTGAATCCCGCTTGAGACATGGATGTCTGTGTGTGTTTATTCTCTGTTTTTGCTGTCCTGTAAGCAGGTAGCGGCCTTATGACAGGCTGATCCCTGTCCAAGGATTCCTACCCATTGTGTAAAAGATTAATTAACTGAAAAAGTGGCCACGGTCCAACAAATGGCTGTAGAACCATATGGATATAGATAGATAGTTCTACATGTCTTACAGCCATATTTTAACTTGAAGGTTACAATATTAGCATAAAAAAATACAAGTTTTGGCCAGCTGAACCACGCAGTGTGCTGTCCCTGGTGTAACCGACACATGGTTAGTAAAGTTCAGTAATTTGAATTGTTTCAGTTTATGTGAACAGAAGAATCTATGCTGGAATTTGAGGAACAGTTTATGTTGTTTGTGGTGTTTACTGAGACTAACACATGTAGGTTCTTGGAATCACACATATTAGTTTTGTGATCTTCAGAATAAGTTTCATTGTCATGGATTCTATGAAAATATACACATACCTGCTACATCATATGGAACTCATATTGTCACTTCTCAGAAATATCTATGCGGAAGCTTTTATGAGCTGAGGTAGCTCAGTCAGCATATACCAGGTTACGGGCTGGACAGCCAAGGAATCTGTGTTCTATTCCAAACAAGGGAAAGATATTTTTCTCTTCTGTGTAATGTCTAGGCCAGCTCTGGTGCCACCCAGCCTCCTGTACTGTAGGTACCCAGGGCTTTTTCCCCAGCAGTGTAAAGTTGCAGGGGTGTGAAGCTGACCACTCCTCTCCACCTAGTGCCAAGGTCACCAATGATGGAGCTGTTCCTCCACTCCCCCATACTTCTTCATGGCATGATATTTAATTAAGCCCAGCAATAATTTTACTTTTACCTTTTTAACCCATCCAGCCCCAAATATGATGTGGGAGAGTTTTTGCTGAGGATTTAAATTCAGGTATGTCAAATAAGACTGGCCCAAAAACTGGTAATAATTATTATTTCCATGTCATGAGAATTGGACTCAACTGTCTTTAGTATAAAAAAAATATTTACTTGAAATATCTACTGTATTCACATTTTATAAACATTTGGTAGCTGACAAAATGCCTGCCAACAGCTGATTTACCATTGGTATTTCCAAGATTGTTTACTCCTGGAATAATCAATAAATCCTGTCAATACACACACTGAACAATAGCCTATACCTTTATCTTAACCCTTTCTGGTCGTCACATTTGGAAAAATTTCTGCAGCCAGGTTGTCAAGGGATTTTAAATGCCCACAGAGCCACTAAGTGAGCTGGTTTGCTCAAAAAGTTGGTAGAAGGGCATAAAATGATAAAGCAAAATGTGTACTTACCAGCACGTGCAAGAAGACAAATTCTCTGCCTTGTAGTGGTATAGGACAATCAAGTGTAGAGAGAGGTTTTAGTGTTTTACTGGCTAAAATTGTTTACTGTTCTCTAGTATAAAGTATATGCATATCCCTTTATTCTTATAACTGTCACACTTCTCTGTACACAAATAACAAAAACCCGATAAACTGTAGGACCTACACTAAAACTTTTTCAATTTCTTGAGAGTGTGATATCTTTTGAAACATTCCCCACGACACATGGCCAGTTGATTTTTGCAGGTCTTACAATAGAAGTTCTGAAATTTTGTGTCTCGCATACCTGTTTGTCTGTATAACAATGTTATTCAAAACCTCGTCATTGAAAAATAAACTAAAATAATCCATCGGCTCTGCATTTGGTAGAAGGTTAAATTGGGGCCCTGCATTTTTAGTAAATGTGTATGCCTTGGGTTTTTTTGTCCCCCATCCCCACATCTTCCCACCCTTCAACACACATAACACTTGTTTGATTCTCGCTGTCATGTTTCAACATTCCATCGCTGGATTCTTCACTCACAGTTTCCTCTACATTTTCCAAATCCATCTGATCATCAGAGTCTATATCGAGTTCTTCATTCTGAGCCATGCGTCTTACTTAGGCTCCGTTCAGCGGCTTCTCTTCCTACCCCCCCTCTTTTTTCTCCTCCTTTTGTCTAGAAAGTTCTTCCGTACTGCCCTATCACGTGATCCCCCCCTCCAACTGGTTCTGGTTTCATGGTAACTAGTAGGGTAGAGGGAGACGGACACTCTAGGACGAGACGTCGGTGAAGGAGGTAACAAGCAAAATTCTTTTTTTGGGCGTGGCCAGTCTAAATTCGGTTTGGTTCCTTTTTTTCCGTGAAGGTTCACAAAAAGGAATAGTCGTATTGGCGGTCTGAGGATATATATATATATTTATACATATCTGTATTTACATTTTTTTTTTTGGTTGGAAATTATTGGCTTATTATTTTCTTGGGTGATGATATATTCATATATTTGTAATGTCCTGAGAGTTATTGTGGGCAAGCTAAAAGCTTAGCTAAACTGGTGTGATCTATTATTTGTACCGTCCTGAGAGTTATATGTGGGCAAGCTAAAGCTTAGCTAAACTGGTGTGATCTATTATT